ATTTACAAACATCAGCTGGGGCATTTTTATCAACATACTTGTCTTATCTCTTCTTATCTCAAAGTTTTAAATTTAATACTACAAGGGTGTCAGGTTATCTTAGGATGTAATCTAAATCAATTAACACATTAAAGGAAAAATTGAGATTGTTGACCTGGAGCATATTGAACTTAAGAGCTGAAGTCCAAAGTTTGGTCTTAACTTTCAGACCAAAAATTTAGTTTTTTTCAGTAAAGATAAATAGTAGCCTACTTAAACAGTATATGAATCTGAAATATCAAATTCTTTTTGACCTTATACTGATCTTTCTTGGGTCAAATAGCCTAGAATTCTTATATGGAAGCTGTGCTCAAATTCTTTTGTGAAACCATTTTGTGAACTGCTAGTACTTTAATAACACACACACGTACTTAATACCTGTATCTGTTTTAAATCTAAAGTGTACTAAGTTGTTCAACGTAACGAAGTGAGGTGCCAGTGCAGGAATGTGGGCTCACGTGTTACTCATTTATAATCTTATCAAAAAAATTCTCATTGCTGCTGGAGTACTTCCCACTATTGGTGGTGACTGCTTGCAGTTGTCTATATTGTTTTTTTTAGTAACAATTAAGTTATTTTTAACACTTCCTCAAGGTCTGAAATTGGAAAAGCTTCCTTCACTAACAAAGGGAGAGATTGTAGATAATTTTTATTGTTTTTTTTTTTTTTCAACAACTCACCTAGGGTTTGCAACTGGAATAGTTTCCCTAACTCGTAGGGGAGTGATCTTAGATAATTGTTATTCAACAGCAGTTCCCTGAGTGTTATCATGTCCCCCAACTCAGCAGGTAGACTCCGTAGCTTGTTGGCTGACAGGTCCAGGTAGACTAAGTTCTGTAGCCTGCAGATGTCTGCTGGGAGTCGTGTCAGGTTGTTGTCATTCAGGTACAGAGATGTCAGGTGCTCTAGCTGCCATAACTGTGGGCTGAGATTACGAATGGTCCCTAGAATTTGTTTTTTTTTTAATTATCATGTCTGAATAATATTTTTCTCAAATTTTTTGTATCAACATACATTTTCTATTTTTCACAAAAGAAAATTACAAAGAGTAACTTAAAATGACTAGAAAACAAACAGAGTGTGCAGACCTCCGCCAAGGAAACTGAATTCTCATTATAATTAATAAATCATTAATCAAATCATAGAGTCGATTTAAGTGTATAAATATAACACAGTCATCTGAGCAATATACGAAGAATATCTTTATTATAGGATATACATGGTCGCAGGGCTTGCACAGCGTTTCTTGGGGAAACTTATAAAAAGTACAGATAACTAACACCAAATGTGCCTAGAAACACTACTGAGAAAGAAATTTATATATAAAAACTAAAAAACAGCATTAACATATCCATTTTCTATGGTAGTTATTATACCTTTTCAATTCAATGAGACAAGTGATACTTCTTACGGTCCAAATGTGACTGTAAAATTTGACTGGTCCAAATTGACACTCAGATGCAAGAGGTCAGGTCACAGCATGCAATAACATGTGTGAAGTGTACCATTTTTGTCAAGGTGTAAATAGTACACAATTTGTAGAGCTCTGACAAAGAACTTGTGCAGCTTCAATGCAGAGCCCATTTCAATGGAAATTGTTATTACCATCAAATCTAATCGTTTGTTCCTTAGCTCATTTTGACCAATTCTGAAAATTTTATCAAAAAACGCTTCCAGAACTTTTTCTTTGCCAAAAGACAAACAAACAAAATAATTGGAATGAAAACAAAACCTCCTAGCTAAAGGTAATAAAAGCAAATTTAAAAAATAGAGAATATACATACAATAAAGCATTTGTGTAGCAGTTGCAATCAGTTTTTTTACAATGGAAGAAACTGCTGCAATCAGTTATTTGATTCAGTGCCTCGAGAGGAGTATGTGAATCATGATGTGAGCGTTTTAGCAATGCTCACAGCATGGCTGTCACAAATCTATTCATTTACCTGTAATTTCTAGCTCATACCACTGGGACTTTTTTCCTGCTACAACGTCTTCCATTGACATGATTGTGTGTGTCCTACGAGGGTTTGGCGACTCATATTTTTCTTTTGGCATGTTGGTGAGGTCTAAAACAATAAAGTTAGCGAATGATACAAAATGAACTGTGAAATAAAATATAAATAAAGCAGTTGGCTAAATGAAACACTTTATGCTGTCCATCATTTCTGTCTACTGACTTAATTTTTAATATAACTTTCACTAATTACCTGAATAATTTTTTAACTAAAGTTGCTTCCACCCACAATAATTCTTTAACCCATGCTCCATATCTAACCAATGTATTTACTATAAATCAAACTGGAATTATCCCATACCACAGTAATACTTAAATCCCATCTTTCTGTAGTAAATATTTTACCAATTATATCATCAAGTATTTCATTCTGTAATACACAGATATTATCATATCCTCTTATAAATAACATGTAAAAAGAGAAAATCCAGTATCTTTACAAGAAATCTTCTTTACAGGGGGAGGGATAAAACTAAATTTTGCCTGAATTACTCTGAAGTGCCAAATAATAACAATACTGCCAAATAATTGTGTCGTGTGGATAATGTGTGGAAAATTATTAATCGTGCCGGGGAAAATAAGATCATGCCAGGTGGAAAATTTCTGAAAAAAAAAAAATAATCGTGCTGGCACTATTATTCGGCACTTCAGAGTACATATTTCTATGCACGATATTAGAAACTCATTACTTATCACTGGGTTTGACATTAACTTTTACGACCACCTGTCTTTTAGACAGGTTTGGTGACTCATATTTTTCTTTTGGCATGTTGGTAAGGCCTAAAACAATAAAGTTAGCCAATGATACAAAATGAATTGTGAAATAAAATATAAATAAAGCAGATGGCTAAACGAAACACTTCTTTCTTAAATTTGACCTGTCTGAACACAAATCTTACCTGTCCAAATTAACCAATAGTTTTTCCATTCATACCTTTCAGTGAACTTTGTAAATTAATATGTGTAATCAAGAATGAATTAATTACCAATATGTTCAACCAAAATGGGCTCAGAAAAAGTGCCCTGTAGTTGATTTATTCTGAGATGAACAGTTCATTTTGCATATCTATTATAAACTTCTGATGATTTAATCTTCTAAAGAAATGTGATTTAACATAGTTTCAATCATATATCCATATGAAACAGACCTTAAAAACAGCTCTAAACACAACTTGTAACTTTCTGAAAAGTGCACTGCACTGGATATTTCACTGGAACCATGCAGAGACCTTGCAAGCTATAAATATGATCAAATCAGCTTGCAACATGACATCTCTTGATCGATGATACTATGAACATGTGCTTTAAAGTGAAAGCAGTGTCTATTTTTGCACCTGTTAGTGGTTGACCCTATTCATATATAAACAAAAGGCAGCTCAAGGAGACCTTAGCGTGAAAAGAATTTTTCAAGATTTTTTTGTTCCCAAATACTCATAAAACAATTAACATGACCCGTCCATTGGACAGCCCACCCTGCAACTTCACCTTTCTGAAATGAATTTTAACCTGTCTTGGACAGAACCCAGTGTCAAGGCCTGGATCATATTACTTATCCTGGAACATAAGTAACCACACACTATTTAAAAGTTGTTGCAGACATCTTAAATAGGTATAATACACATACAGTTATATCCACTGGAAACGATTTTCTAATCTTCATATATTTCCTTTTTGTGCTCAGCAAAGAACACAGAACTAATCATGATTTAGATAATAATTCATAAAAATAAATAATATAAACAAGTGTAACCTTGACCTACCAACAGTAGAACCGCACAAGATAAAGGTGTTATGTCAAATCTAACACAGTAATGAGCAACCTGGGTATTTTACATTACAAATGAAAAGTTAACGACGGTCTTATGCACACACACCATAAATGCACACAACATTTGTAGAGCAGCATCTTGAGCTTCATTGGCAACTTGCATCTGAACAAAGATTTTGTCCCATACGTAGTGCTAATGCAACAAAATTGTATCCTTAAATCCTGACAACATGTGTAACAGTTGAAAAAGTAATCATAAAGCTTACCTTCATCTATAAAACTGTATAGTTTTGGACAACCAGAAGCCAGATATTATTGTATAATACTGAGGGGAATTTTACTAATGCATCAGAGAGAAACAAATATGGCTGCCAACTTCGGGGTTATCCTGTGCTATTTATAACAAAGCTTTTCCATTGGTTAATTTGATGAAATTGCCCATGTGAAATAAAACACGAAACACTTATTATTTGATTGTTCATCATGTTCAATATATTTTATTTGAACATTGAGAATGTAGCATTTTTTAAATAAGATATTCACACATCAGATGTTTTAATAAGGATACGAGGTCAGCCGAAGAATGCCGATCTTTTCACCTGAAACAACATGTCTGCCCCCATGGCTTCAAGGATTGGTGAGTGTAAATTTCTTGTTTGCTCCGAGCATATCGTTGCATTTAACTGACATCTTCACTGTTGTGATATAGGTGCAACTATGGTGTTATTTGCTTTTTTTACATATTCAGGGAAGTACCTCATCTTGTCCAGGCAATTTATAAACAGAGGGCATGTTCTCAGCAATGCTCAAATAATCCCAGTGCGGTTTAAGACTAAACAAGACAAAGGGAAAGACAAAGGCGGGGAGAAAAGTAGATGGATGATACGGCAAGAGGAAAAGAGGAAAAAACTGAAGGCAGAAAAGAAAAAAGAGAAGTAGGCTCATTAAGTTACATCATGTACTAAATAGGTCATTGTTCTTACTAATACAATAATAACACACACACTGGTATTTGATTCCAACTCTTCTTTTTTGTGAAGAATCAAAAAATAGAAAATTATTAAGGAATAAAATTTAAGTGTAAGTAAATACCATTAAAGCACGCACACGCACACACTCACACTCCGCTACTGGTATGCTAAGTTTCAAATAAGATAATCATTTTCATTTCAGGGCAGAATCTACCTTAAAATTTGGTGCTTTGGAATGCCCTTACCCTAATGAAATGTATAAGAAAAGAATACCTGTCGATCCTGTCTGGTCGCCACGTCACTATCCAGTGCAGTTCAGCACACATAGTGTAGAAAAAAGCTTAGAAATGCACAGGGAACTGGCAGATCCTTCCATGATGGATGACATGAATAAATATGTTTACCTGGAGTTGAGATTTGATACGGAAATAACAAAAGAAGTCATGGTAAAAGGTGGAAAAAAAGAAACTAAGGTTAGTTTGTGGGGTAAAGAAAATGGCCTTTTGTGTTGTTTTTGTATTTTAAATTTTTATTTTGATAAACGAAAACATACAGACAGTTTTGATTTAATTACCATCATTGTAAGTAAACCATGTTTCAACAGCTCAACTGATATTATAAAACAGTGTATAGAGAACACCTCATAATTCATGACTTCATAATTGACATAAATTAAAGCAAGAAAAATATTCTTCATCTCAGGTATCCTATCTTGAAAGCATAAGTGATTACTTGAAATTCCCTCACATGTTTGAAACAAAAGAGAAGCGGCGAGTAATGGTTTTTTGCAAGGTAAAACAATATGTCAGTAACATGAAACTGCTGTTATGTTTGATGAAATGAAGGTGTCACCAGTTGCCTGAAGGGAAGACTGAAGATGTTTCATTTTAAATGATTATCCTAATAATGGGTGCTGCTTCGTTAAAAAACTTTTTGTCATATGCTATGAATAAAAATATAAAGCAGCAATCAATCAATTTCAAGTAAACATCACATTTCTTATTTGTGGTACTGTTTGTGCAGTTGTACAATTATTTTCTCATCCAAAACAAATCCTTTTATCGCAATGGAAATATTTACAGCCTGAAGAAGTAGAGCTGGCCCTGAGCAATGGAGCAGAGATTGCTGGTGGAAAAGAATTAGCAGATCAGGTCAGTGTCTCTCTCTTCTCTCTTCTCTCCCCGTACAATTTAATGGTGTTCTATACAGAATTTGCCTTCATGTGGCAATCTTTACTGAATTTTCCTGGCAATATTATTCTACTCATTACAACTACCTGTTCCTGCTTCACCTGTTCCTGTATTTCGACGTTTTAGTTGTTTTTTAATTTTATGATTTAGTTGTAAATGAACATATAAAATATGATTTAGAGAATTTTTTTAAAATGCAAACTGATACAGTGTACTTTTGATCATTATATCGTGCTTTCTTTTCAGAATAGATTTTCATGTTAATGGCATTACGTTTTATTTTTGTGATGCCTATAGGTGGACAATAATGAAATTGACTGGAAGAACATGGATGTCATTCTGGGCACAGTGGATGCTTTGCCAGACATACTATCTGTCAGGAAGAAGATTAAAAATAAGTTGCCTACTCAGAAAAGTGGTATGTTGCCTGATCTCACAGCATATATAGGTTATATTGTATATGATGAGATAGTATATTACTAATTGCTGACTAAAAGTGAGGAGGAAGTACATTCTAGAATTTATGTTATCCATATTTATTATTTACTAAATTAAACATCACAGCTCAGTTTTATTCCACATGCCCGTGATCATATAGATGCCATGGCAAATAGCCACTTACAATGAAAAAAACCTCAAGGAAAATCAGAGTATTTAATTGCACTACACTCGGTTATAACATTTACCTATTCCAAAGTGACAACACCTGATTATATATAAGGGGGGGGGGGGGGGAGCTATTAGGCCAAAGAATTCACATTCTATTTATTTTTGATCTATCAAAATATTTATGTGAATGCACCAGTGTTTTATTATGTATTGCATTTCACAGAACATGTTTTCTTAACTCAAACTCAGTTTTATTGTACTTTTTTAGGGACTCTGGGTGTGGACTTGGTTGAAATGTTGAAAAAACATACTGATGGAATTGGAATGACATCTTTTCCAGTGAAAGCCAATATTTCCATTATGAAGGTCAAGGTTGGAACTGTAAGTTGTTTCTAAAGAAGCCAATATAGGTGTTACAGGTTAAAGAGTTAAATGATATAAACATTTTACAGAACTTCAACGTAAATTTGTTTACAGAGTGTAAAAAGTGCATATATAAAGGTCTTTTTAATGCTGATATTTTATTTTTATTCTCTGTAATGGATTTAGACATTTGACAACACCTAAAGTCTGTAATATGGTCTTACAAAAAGACAAACATTTGAAGTGAACCATTTGCTTCTATTGGGCTGCCATATATATGTGTGTGTGTGTGGTCATGTGATTCATACATTCAAAAGAAATGGGACACAGAAATAGCATTGCCATTTTCTTTCATTTTCCAGCTTGATATGCCTGATAAAGAAATTATAGCAAATATGGATGTGGTTGTCAAATCAGTTATGCAGCAAAGAAGCAACATGGGTAATTTTGTCAAATTTAATTTGATGTATAAAAGTAGTCTAGTAGGCACCCCTTTGTCTCCTGTACACAGCTCTGGACATTTTTTTAGCTCGTGAAGTTTTAAATTAATAAACTGTCAAGTTTTTAAACAGGTAAAACGTGATTTTTAATGTTACTGTTTAGAAAATCTTTTTGACCAGGCTACGTTTGACAAGTGGAAAATGAAGCAAGGGCATGGCAAAAGACTATAGCCCGTTTGCATAAAAATTTATATTTACATTTTAGTGGCAGTTGCAACCTGCAATAGCCTTACTGTGGCATTTTACTTTAGTATTGAGATCTAAACCAATATAACATCTAAAGTATGTGTGGAGGTCAAATCAGTAACAGAAAAGTATTGCAATTTGACTTTTTAAGGAAGTTCTAATGAAATATGTTATTGCCATGGCTGTTGTCAGTCCCATAAAATTCATTGCAATTTTATTTTCAGGTCCTATTACCAAACCTTTTATATTCAAGGCATTAACCAAAACTGAACCTGGAGAAAACATAATCATAGACATAGACAGATTTCTGCCAAAGAAAAAGGAGAAAACTAAAGTTACGAAAACCAGTTCACAACATGCCGAGGCAATTAGTATGGATACAGAACAAGGTGAAGCTCCTGTGACCATTTCTGGCACAGAGCCTTCTCTGAACATTGAACCAAATTTTAAGGCTTTGAGCACATGACCAGACAGAGCTAAGAATGGGGTACAATTAGAAGAATTTGGTATATGTAACACATGCAGCATCATAATTCAGAACTATTGAGAATGCAATTCAGCATTATTTCCCCCATTTCGTTACGTCACAGATGACCTACAATAATAATATTTGAACATTTTGTATTGGGCAACATTGAAGGAATTCTCATGTAAATTCTCAAGTGTAAAATCAAGTGAGATTTTGCAGGAATTGGAGTAGAGCTGGGTCAGAAATAAGAGGCCGACAAGCAGAAGTAGCTCAGCAACAAATAGTTTAAAAGATGACGGAATTCCTCCATGAATAATTTTCTGTTCATTTTTGCTGAATTGCACTACTGTAGAAATATGTACATCATGTTTTGCATCACTCTTGTATTGCTTTTTAAGACAATGTTCCTAGCACATCCAAGTTTCCACCTTGGGGCCTGGAAAGTTAGCCCCACTTTTTGTGGATTCTCGGATGACATTACGTACCACAGTTTGCCATTTTTAGGGCTGATGATGCTCATTTCTAAAAAAAAAGGAGCTACTGCACTTCCGTTTGACTCAAATTGGCTTGAGGAGACTGTGCACAAGTTTCACTGAGAGAAGATGATGTTTCTGTCAAGTAGAAACAATACTGAAGGACCCAGGTTTCCTGCCATGGGTCATGTTGTGTCAGTACCCCAGTTCAGTTGTGGCCTTGGTTTCACATACATGTTCAAGAGATTGTTTGCAAGATTAAAAATGTAAATAAAATCAGTTTTGTGGTACATGCCAATTATTTTTCTGTTGATACGTGTAGAAATGAGAGATTTCAATGTGCAGGGCAATATTTTTCATGTTTGAAAGCATATTGTAGTATTTACAAAATTTCAAAGACGGTTTTTATTGCGACTAAAAACTATTTGCGGCTTGTTATCATGTCCAAGTAAATAAACCTCTGTAAATCAGATATACTCTATTTCTTTAAATGATTACAATGAAGTCAACTTGTAGAGTATCTCAAAAATTTTATTGAGTTTAATGATACTGCAACAGAAAAGGATGATTACTAACAAATGATAGCTGTGTAAGTGTTGAGGAAATAGAAGGCAAAAAAGTTCAAAAGTGCTACTAATTCAACCCAATTATGATAATGTTACAAGTAAAAATCCTGGCTTTTTCCTAAAAAGTTCATTAATAACCAGATGAAAAGGCTTTATGGTCTAGCTGCTCAAAAGGGCTTTAGTCATAATTCTTTACATGTACATAACTACAGAAAATATATATATATATATAGGGTAATGTCAGAAAAATTCTTAAATTCACAGCACAAATAAAAGCACAAACAGTACTATGCTATTGCCAGTCTATATCAACAAGCACTATATTAATAAATATGGATGACTTGATACCACTTGGTGTTATTGTAATATATTAATTTTCTTTTATAATTATTCATGACTTCTTGATCCAGCTTATAATTTACCATGTGTGCTTTGCAGCAACAATTCATTTCTTGCAGCTGTGAAGAAACTACAAATCCACTAGAATATTGCATTGTGTAGAAAGTCGAGTAACCTTTAAATAGTAAGAGCTCCCAACAGGGATGCATAAACCTCCCTCATGTTATAACATAGTGTTTGCTCAGAATAAATTGTCCGTTGACTCTTGTTCATCTGGAAGCATGTTATGCAAAAGTAATTCCAGCTTCCTGGTATGTTTTGAAGATTTTTTCCACAGAGACTATGAAAGCAGCAGTACGGAGGTCAATTCCAAGATTAAACTTCATGGCTGCCCGCATTATATTCTGGAAGAAGCACAATATATATTATATTTTATAACAAAATCTTTTCAGGCAGGCAATCATAAATAAAAGAAATGGTAATAAATGGAACAATAAATATCATGCCATGATTAAGGGTGTTAAATGTGAACAGTAAAAGAGTTACCTCTCAGAAATACTAAGAAAAGCAACTCCTAAGTAAATTCAAACATTTTAAGGATATAGCAGTAATTCCGTTTTCAATCAACAGCTGTTATTGACATTGTTTACCTACAATATTTCAATGTCTGGAAAGCCTCATTCCTCAATAAAGATGCTCTAGATAGACATTGCATTATTGGAGGTAAACAATTTCAATATTAGCTGTTGACTGAAGAAACTTTTCTTTTTATATAATGACAAAACAGCTGATGAGATTCTTCTCAAATATTTTTTGACTGTTAATTTTCATCCACTCTGGCTATGAAGGCATTATTGAATTCCCCATTTATTCTGAACAGAAATATAAAATGCACTTTCAGAAATGTTTAACTGCTGTTGCCATCCTGTTAAGAGAGCAAAGACAATTTACTGGAATGTTGAATTGGTTGACATCTGACGCATACAAGATGACAGAGCAGTAAGAGAAAGGACTCCAATGGTGAGAGGCAGGGGTCTGAAAGCTCTTATGAAAACATTGTTTTTAGCCTAAGGAAGTTTAAAAAAAAATACCTAAAGGACTGCATCAAGGGGTGTTGTATTATTATTATTATTTTATCTATTTATTTTTTTTTAGTGTAAAAAAAAGTGTTAAAAAATCATGAATTAAACCAACTGGATCAGCCGAACGTGAGTCCAGCGTCCATGTAGCATTTGACTATCTTCCCAACTGACACCACAAAGGCTGCAGTTCGAAGGTCAAGACCAAGATTGTATCTCATGGCTGCACGCATGATGGCCTACAATAAAACAGTACAAAGGGTCACAAGGATTGGTCCCATGTCCAAGGTCTTCAAACACAACCAACTTCATGCAGACAGCACTGAAACACCCGTGCAGTTGCTTTCACTTGAGAAAATTGGGGCATGCTTCTAGCTCTATTAATGGGGCATGCTTCTAGCGCTATTAATAGCTCTATTAATGTTACAGAGACAGGGGTAAAATAAAGACAGAAAGCCCATTTTAATTGCAGAAGGATCACATTATTAGAAAAGAATTAAGATTAAAAAAGAAAAGAAGCGTGTGATGGAAAAGGAAAGAAGAACATGTAATTTCTTTATCATCTGGCTGATTCTGAGCAAGCAATCAAAGGAAGAAAGCCAAAGCTAACATTTACAGAAATTTTGCTGAGCAAAAAAATATATAATAAAAATATTTCATTGACTTAATCATGAATGAACATTTTACTGCAGACTCAAAGAAGGGTCCTAAAAGTTGATGTGACTGTCAATCCAAGGTATGCTATTTTTTGTTGACCACATTTCGGTGGAAAACTGCCATGAACCCGATACAATACTGTCAATATAAAATTATAACTTAAACATTTGTAAGGACTTGATACACTGAAGATGTTCAACAAACAGAAGGTACATTCTGTATTATGAATGACTTTAAACACTCATATATTGACAATATTTGTGAGCACCTGCAGGCAGAATTAAAGCCTTCTATATCAGTTTTCATTTAGTAACCTGAAACCTTTGTTAGAATTTTCATGTTTTGCAATGCGTGAAGCTGAAATTGAAATGTTGATTAGAGCATGATGACCTACGTTAGTAAGCCAGCATTGTATTTTGACGGACATAGAAATACTGCAACAGCAAATATATCCAAGTAAGCCAAAGCACTAAAATACAGCACACTTAAAAATATTTTCCCATTTCCAAAGGGCTGTCTACACTAGCTATGCTGTATACAACAAATGTTGCAGCTGAAAAAAATGTGCAAATTCTCAGTCTATGAAAAAAGAGCACATAAACAGACTTTTACCCCCCCCCCCCTCCCTTTTCACTCCCCCAGTTTTTAATTTGCCAGTTTCTCAACAGTGTTGACTGTTACGTATTTGTCCCAGAGGTGAAAGAGGATATCTAAGATTAGGCAGACAACATGGTCACAGTTAATTCCTTGCAATATTTTGCCCTGTTTCTCATAGACATGCCAATGGTTTGGCAATGCAAAAAATAGATTCAGCTATCAAATAAAAAAATTACAAAATTTAAAAGTCAAATTTGTCATGAAATGTGTGAGTTCATGTACATAGAATTTTATATATATATATATATATATATATATATATTTTTTTTTCCTACCTTTTAAGTAGAATGTAACAATTACAAAGTTACTCTGTGTTAGGAGCCCATTATAACATATGATTAATATGCACATTATGTAAATCAAGAAGTAATTAATATATATTGGAACTACTGCAGTATTGAGCAGTTTCTAACAGCAGCCCGACACCCTCCAGCATGAAGTATTTTATCTATTCCAAATATCTTTACTAAGAAACTTTCCTTCAGTTAGTATACTAATTGAAATAGGGATATACAAATCTGATTAAAACAAATGAAATAGCATTTTTTAAAAACCCAACACAAATTATAAGCACCATTTAGAAAGTAACTTTTACTGCAGCAATCCTAAGGGGATTGTCAGACTTACCCTTGCTGATCGCTCCATGGTGTACTCAAGTCCTGAGTGGACAATGTCCTTTTCAGAGGCACCCTAGATATGGAAAAAGTTTGACCTTTTCATCAACAGGTATCAGAAACAGATGAAGTAACAGATGGACATATAAAAACATACTATGTCAACTAGACCTGAAAATCTCCAAATGAATGACTGTATGTTAACTAGACCTGAAAATCTCCAAATGAATGACTTGTTTTAACAAGTCTTTAAAATCTTCCAACACAACTTGTGATGAATATTCATAACACAGGATTGAGCTGTCAATACTGAAAATTATTCTATTTCTTTTGTCTGACTGGCTGTACTTACAGACATCTTTGCTTCAAATTCCTTGCTAGGAATGATGGGAATTTTGTCTCCACCACGACAAAATTTATGTTCTAAGGAAGACTGTACACTGGCTGTAATACAGAAAAAAAAAAACAGCTGGCTTAAATGAATCATAAATTGCTGCAACCTTACTCCGGAATTTCTTGGGCTAGCACTTTGTATACATTTAATGTCAACAGATACAGGCTTGAGTTCACTCAAAAATGGACCAAATAATGTTAAAACCAGATGCTAGCACAAATTGTAAATCATCAAAATATTAATTATTTAAATATTAAAACTAATTTGTTTTACATGCTGCAAATATAATCGAGCCGAGTGTCAGACTAGCATATTCTTTGCTTTAAATAAGCCAAGGAATTTCTTTTTACAAATATTTGAAAAACAGTCATGAATATTAACATTGTTCATTTTCTGTGATCAAAGTAAAATCTGCTCAGTATATTGGGCGAGAAGTTCTCCCTAGCATGAGCCTACATAAAATGAAGTAGTTACCTAGAAGCTGCTGATTAGCATCTCTTTCATATTTGAAGGTAAGACGTCCATAGCTGACATGATTAAGGTTCTTAACCCACTCAAAGTAAGATACTGTGACACCACCAGCATTGCAATACAAATCCTGTAAAGTAAAATATTTTACACTATCAGCTATCACAGAGGTGTGTGCATGTGGATGAGCATGCACATTCAGCAGGCCTCTAAAAAGACAAATGAGCATTATAATTACAGAGCATTATAATTCAAAAAGATCTATCTTTATTACATGGTAAGAATATTGTAAAGAACTACACTAATGAAATATGTTTCCCTTAAAACAATTCGAAATCAATGTTCCTAACACTTTTAATACATTCTGGTGAACAAAATAAATATTAAATTTTATAGTACTGGTACATTTACTTACAGGTATAACTAGTACATTATTCCCAATCAGGATCCTTTCTGCTCCTGGAGTAGTTGGCCCATTGGCGCCCTCTGCAATGATCTGAATTAAAAAAAGGGGCAATTTGAGAAGCAGGATAATCGTACAAC